TCTTAGCAAGGCATGGGAAGAACAGTCATTGCACGTCAGCAAAGCATATACTTTTTCATTTATGATGAAAATGGGGTGATGGGTGCTTTACACAGTAAGAGGTAAACCTTGTTTCTTGTGTGGGAAGACCTAAATTAAGAAATAACTTTACAGTGATTTTCCAGGATGCTAGGCAAAATCACGTAGAAACAGATTTGTTATTTCTGTTATACAATCGCAGGATCAATCTGTAACCAAATAAAATTCTGTAATCTGATTTGATAGAAATGGATGGTGACATTCATACCAAAAGCCTGAGTCAAAACTTAGCTTATTCTGTACCCCTTACTCTTATCATATTAGATTGAGCATTAATGACTGTACCGGTGAGTCGCACTTACTCACTTATTTTTTTAATTGTCCGTGTCTTTGATTTTTAAGAAGAATTGGCCAGCTTGATATAAACAATTTCCCTTTTATGATTTTTCTTACAATCTTGAGGATGTATTCTGGTGGTGATACTTATACTGTGTTGTGCTTTACTCATTTGCAGAGTTTTTCCACTTGGTGAGACTAACTGTGGAGTAAGCTCATACTCGGCATGAAATGGGAAAACCTCATTATTATTCTTGTCCTTTGTCCTTACATCCTGTAAAACTGAATTATCTGTAGGAATTTACTGGATCAACACTAAGAATGAAACCATTCCAGTAATAATCTCTGTCCGTGTGTGTATAACTTGTTTTTGTGGAATTGCTCTGTTATTGTTGGTCTTTAGAGACAATAATCCATTAACCATTTCAGTCTGTCACCTCAAGTGAAATGAAGTAAGATCACAGAAGAGCCTTGATTTAAACAGCGATCCACCTATCCACTAATAGCTTGTTACTTTTGATGTCTGAAACTGTGCCTAACAATTAAATGCTCTTGGGCTGACAAAAGTAGAGTTCACTTTTGGGTGAAAATGAGATTTAGGAACTTGGCAGAAAGCTATCTCTATATTACATGACCAAGCTAAGCTGTGGCCTGTTCAAGAGGCTATGTTTGCTATGATGTTTTGTAAACTTGGACAATTTGTCAATAAAACATCAAGAAATATATCATTAATCAGTCTGGCCAGCGTAGTTAATTTTGGTGATACTGTATGAATTGACAGAATTTATGCTTGTGTTGTTGCAGAGGTACTGCCTGAGAGGTGCTTTGCTAGTCCTTTAGGAAGGAATGCTATCAGCCCTTGGAACAGCACAGTTCACAGACGATGCGATACCACCATATATCAGGCAAACAAAACAATACATGTTAATAATATTAAAGTGTCCTTGAAGATCTGCTTAGAGGTACTACTTCCCCTGCAATCTGTCAAGGGTTGGCCTGCCACCAGCTTCAACTCAAGTTCAGTTCTTCGTATGCGCTGGTGATACAGTCCTTAATCAGTTGATTTTTCCATTAGGCTTTGTGGGTTGGACAGTGTATAGTGGCAGTGTTAAGTGAGATAATTTTGGGATCACAGCTCTGTTTACTGCAGATGTTTGAACTAAACATTCTTCAATACTTTCTTTGCGGCCCTTGATGAGTGTAATAGGTAGCTTCTGTTAGTGCTGTATTTTGGCTCCTCTGCCACACTAAGAATTTAGATATAGAAATATATTAGTGTGCTTAACCCAAACTCTATTGATAACATAGTGCAAGCGTGCAAAGGGTATGGTGTAAGTATATTAGGGTCAAGTAACTCTGACTTGAATTAAATCCGCTGTAAAGGACATAAGTATTCAAGTCACTTAAACATAGATGTCTGCTACCACTTCAGATGTCCTGCTGGCTTCTGGCAGAGCATGGATACCTGTCCATCTGCCAGCCCCAGGGTGCCTCAGGTACACTCGTGTCTGAAATGGCACTGGATGCCTGTCTTTGGGTACCTGCCTCTGTTTATCACATCCTGAAAGACTGCGATTAAGACGGCAAACCAAGAGCTCCAATTTGGAGTAATACTAGCATGACTAGGGCTGGGATCTGTCATGCTGTTGGTTGGAGCTGTATGGAAAACCAGGATACTAGGCTTTGCCTATCACATCAGGGTCTACTTGCTTCCTGGCCCTTTTCTCCCTATTCAGAGACCCTGCCTGTGTATCTTTAGCTTGCAGTTTGTGTATGTGTGTTTGTGATACAGTTGTTAATTACGTGATTGCATATTTGTCTGTCTGCATGATCCTTGCCTCATTCAACATGGAGGACAGATGGTGCTTGGGGATTCATTACGGCTCTGTAGTCAAAGAGACTGTTGTTTGCAGGATCACAAATGCGTTTCCTGCAGATGTTGAAACAAATGAGGCAGGGGGTTATAGGAAAAGAGAGGATGATCTCATGTCTAAGCCAGTCAACCAGTTGAGTGATGATCTGCAGAACTGGAACTCTGCCTCTAGGATGCTAGACAAATAACTCAAACCAGGCTTCTCATCCTAGGCCTAACCCATTTTCTTATTTCCGCAAATAGAGCAGCATCCTCAGCTTAGTTCTGTGTATCTTTTCAAAATGAGTGTGGTAACTTGTTGGTAGTTGACTGCAGTTAGGGGAAATGGTGTCTTTTCTGTTTTATGACTTAAAAATTTCCTATTCATTGCAGTGATCGGATAGCCCTCACTGATCCCTTTTCTTGATTGCCTTTGAAGTTTGCAACAGTTCCTCAAAAACTGATATGGCAGGGCTTGTTTACCAAGGTTCTCCAATGTCATTTAAGTAGGACCCAGGGTAAAATAAACTTGAGTATAACAAACCAGCTATACAATATGTCTATAAGCACAATGTTACTTCCCTCCCGTCTGCCTGTTTATGCCACTGCAGAATTTGGCTGATAGAATTTTAATAAAAATAAGTCTTTGCAATTATTGTTGCAGTAGGAGAAATAATGGTGGATTTGTGTTAGAGATCTTCCTTTAAGTCTGAAAAGCTACTTGCTTTCTATGATAAAGATGACTTGTTCCTCTCGCCCTGGCATTGAGCTGCCTTGAATGAAAACTGAACTGAATGTATGTTAAAGTTTTTCTTGTTCAGACTTCCTTAGATAAAAACAAATAAATAAAACCAGGGTAATTTCTAGCCTCAAGCTATTGTTAGGGCTGACAGAATTAAAGAAGGGATATCGTAACGTTCTAGTGATCATAACGAAACAAAACTTTTATGGAACTGCGTGCACATAATTGCTCAAGAGCAAGGGTTTTGGGAGTGACATAAATCATCATTCTTTAGGGCTTATTCTGCCCTTTCAAAATTGAGGATTAGGAATCATTTCCTTGAGACCAAGCCCCACATGGTGCTTTTTTCTTTTCACTCTGAAGCTTCTGATGGTTCAGGTCTGACCGTCGTCCTGCTGA